GGGGCCGATGGGGGATCTAGGGGCCAATGGGGGACATACCCCCCACCCCACCCACCCCCAACAGAACAGAAACTTTTTCAAGTTATGAAAGACAGATTTTTTTCTATGGTCTGGCATTTCTTTTCCTTCCAAAAGCATGCAAAAAGCCCCAAAATGTATCCTCACCCCTCAGAGAAATATTTCCGAATTTGCCCCCTCCCAAAGTCGGTTCTGGATCCGCCCCTGGGTAGCAGAAGGTCGAGCAGGAGGGACATTCTCAAGCTACAGTTTGAAATGGATTCATCCAGTTCAAAGTACTGCACACAGAAAGGATTACCAGTCCTGATGCGACCATTATGACTTGTCCTACTGATACCACCACACAGTTTTGCACAGCCACTAAGTAGCTCATTAATTGGCAGTGACGTTGGCACCACATTATACCCCACATTGCACCGAGATCGAAATGATGCATTTTGATGGATTGCTGGAGTCAACTTCAGCCTTCCAAAATGCCCAAAATAGCAACACGTGGTGTTGGAAGGTGACTTCAACTGATGCTCAGTATTGCAGGTTCAGATGTGTGTGTGCATAATGTCCATTTTTTTTTCTAAGCACAGAGAAAGTGCCAGTGGGTCACTGCACCTTGTTAGAATTTGGAGGATTCAGGAAGGTACTTTCACTTAACACTTTTCCTGATCAGCTCAATGTGGGATTGAGGAAAATTGGTGTTGATTGATACACTTTTTAACTGTTTGAATGATGTTCAGTTTACGAGTCATAACTGCGCAAAATGAATGCACTAATACTGTCTGAATGGATTCTCCAGGTCCAGCGAATCCTAACTTGCTTCGGCCAAGCCTTCCACCGCGTGCCACGCAGCCCAGGCCTGGTGGACGGTGCCCCCGGTGCCCCCACCTCGCCCCGCGAGACCCTGATGAGTTTCACCATCCCCGTGCTGGTGGACATCCGGGAGGACGACGGGCGGGGCAACTTTGGGGCGGTGCCACGGGACAAGCGCTGCTTCAAGCTGCGGCAGGGCGTCAAGAAGGAGGTGGTGGTGACCGTGCAGCAGAGCCACCACCGGGTCCTCAACATAGAGAGGTGGGTTGGTGGGGAAATGGAGTACTTGCCAGAGGGAGGTAGAGTACTTACCTGTGGGAGGTAGAGTACTTGCCGGAGGGAGGTAGAGTACTTGCCAGTAGGAAGTAGAGTACTTTACCTGTGGGAGGTGGAGCACTTGCCAGAGGGAGTTGGAGCACTTGCCAGAGGGAGGTAGAGTACTTGCCAGAGGAAGGTAGAGTACTTGCCAGTGGAAAGTCCAGCACTTTTCCATGGGAGGTGAAGTACTTGCATATGGGAGGTCTAGTACATATAGGAGGTCTAGTAGGAGTGTAACAAACGAATTACAGTCCGCAGTCTTAAACCGGTGCCTTGTTTGTCCCTCTCTCATTTTGTAGATGTTTTGGTCTTCTCATCAGTCCAGGGAGAGAGGTACCAGACAGGGAGATGCACCTCCTGGATGTGGTAAGTCTGAATGACCTTTGACATCCCGGTTATAGTTTCCCTTGTGAGCCTTGTCTCCCTGCACAAAACTTTTCATTGGTAGTTCTCATCATGTGACTTACAGTGTGATAGACATTAGGCGGTGTTCTGCAGTTTTTTAGTTGATTTACAATATGTTGATTTGCAACTGACTTTAAGGATGACTGGGATTATCTTGACATTGACTTGGCTCTGACTTGTGACTCATCTATGACTGACATACAATTGACTCTTGAGTGGCTTGGGATTGACTTTTGACTGGCTTGTGACTGACTTGCTATTGACCGGTGACTAGCTTGTGATTGACCGTAACTGATTGTGGCCTATTTGTGACTGGCTTATGATTGACTTGTGACTGGCTTGTGATTGACTTGTTACTGACTTGTGACTGTTTGTGACTGACTTGTTATTGACTTGTGACTGACTTGTGACTGGCGTGTGGCTGACTTGTTACTGGCTTGTGACTGATGTGACTGACATGTGACTGGCATGAGACTACCTTGTGACTGGCGTGTAATCGGCTTATGATCGACTTCATTACATCTCTGTGTAATATTATGATCTCTCCCAGGTTAATCTTGAGACCAGCTCCGATGGCAAGAATTACACTGTCTACAGCATGTGGGACCCCAACAAAGCAGACCTTGAGGTGCTCAACACCGAGTCTCCTCCAGGCCTGGGTAGGTCCCAATGACTATCGACCTCCACCTTGCCAGATCCTATCAAATCCATTAGATTTTGTGAGATCTTATAGGAATAAGGAATGCAGCTTCACATGTCACGCAACATTTTGGCTGGTAACCTAAGCAGTTTCCAACTCGTGCTGCAACCACACAGACTACCAATAAGTTCTCCATGTTGGACATCACTTTTCTGCTTTGATAATCATGACTGCTGTTCTAACGATGAAAACAGTGTGGAAACTTTTTATTCACTTTCCTCGTGTTGACATCTACACACACATGAACATGTCATCAAACAATCAGAATAAATTTGCATGAAAATAGTTACTTGCTTTTTAGTCAGTTTTGAAAGGGAAAAATGTGTAAAAATCATTCCTTCTTTGAAAGTTTCTGCAGCCCTTCAACTTGCAGAATGCAGGTAGTACTTTCAAAATCAAATTCTGTTACTGTACAAAAGTGGCCTTGTAAGCATCACTGAAGTCAGCCATGTTGTCTGGTTCCTATTTCAGTTCACTGTGGTGCTTTCCAAATTCCTGTAGCTCTGGTCATCCACTGTAGCCAGGAGCCTGCTGCAGCAATCTCACTTTGGTCTTGTCTGGTTCCCCTTCGCAGATAAAGGCATGTTCATGACCATTGCCGTGGATCTGGTGATCACTGGTATCCAGGAGCCAGTCCGATTCGTTGTGGAGACCAAAGTGCGCATCTTCCCCTCCACAGAGAAATTCTGGTACTTCAACAAGAAGCCTGTGCACGAGTTCTTCTACCTGATGCTAGAAGAGGTTTGTTTATCGTCAGTGACAGTGCTCTGTGGGTTTTTTTGGAAATGGGTTGGGGTAGTGTGTGAGCAAAGCCAAGATACTCTGGCTTGGCAGGCCAGTGTTTTGTTCCAATTTCCCCAGCATGGAATGACTGGGAATTGTTATGTTCCCCTTTATGGGTTGCCAGTCCATCGCAGGCCGCTCCCCATCTAATGCCATCTATTACCTATTTGCACTCCCTGACTGGTGACAGCCAAGCAGGGGTTAAGTGGCTTGGCCAAGGCTATGGCTTACGGCCAGCAGCTGGCTTCGAACTCCTGACCCTGTGATCAGGAGTCACAAACTGTACCCACTGGGCCCCATTCCCAATGTGTCGTGTGTACGAAACCCCCAAAATCTCTCAGCCTCTAAAAAAGCCCCAGTCCGTCATATTCAGTAAGTAGCTTATCAGTCGCTGATTGCAGCCTCTACTGAAGCAAAAAGTGATAAGAGACAGAATTAATGGAAGCATTAACTCAGAACCTAATTGTCTGTGACCAAACCTAACAAAGTTAGTCGCAGGGTACCAGATCTTGCAAAACGGAAATCAGAAGGAGCCCTCATAATTGTTACACCTATGTCCATTTTCACTCAGCAGCTCGGTTTGTTCTTTCCATGCAAACTAAAACAAAATTGTGAATAAGTTGTCCTCAAGACCCATTTCGTTGTATCAGATCACACTTTTGCTTCAGTAACCCAAGATCCAACCATCAGTGACTCCGTGGCCTGCTGTTAACAGTAACACTGTTCAGTAAAAGTGGGATTAGCTTCCATTGTCGTGCAGGTGACAGTCCGGCCATTTCTGTGGATTGCCCAGTGCAACATGTTGGACAGGGATAGGGTGCATTCCTTGAATCTCTTTCTGTCCTTCCTGCAGACGGAGGCGGCCGTGGAGAACGAGCCAGCCTACTCGGTCCTGAGCCTGGAGAGCGAGTCGCAACGAGAGCGGCGGCGGATCCCTGCGCGCTCCCCCAGCAGCAACCTGGTACAGACCCCGGACAGCATGACTTCAGTCCCCGAGGAAGAGAGTGGTACGTTGTCACTGATGTTTCTTCTCATCATTTCGTGGGGAGGTCACACTTCTGTTAAGAAATCAAATTTCCCCTCCCCCACCAGCCTGTGTACTTTTAACCATTTCCTGCCGGGAAGCCCGGTTTCAGACTTATATTCTTTATATGCACAGCTGGGGTGTCCGAAATCAGGCAAAGGGAAATGGGCCTTGTAACAAAAGACCGTGCTCCTAACAAAAGACCAGGCTGCTGGGCATTACCAACATTTTATTAGTGTCAATAGCGGAGATAATCCAGCATTGTTTTGAAGCAGTATACCACTGTTTGTGGCATTCAGTGCGAGCAGATTACAACTGGGGACAAAAACGCTTCACTGCTGCAGCGATGATCCACACAGTAGCGCTGCACGCTAATCTGGCCCCTATTGAAAAGACGTCAGCAGCGCTCTGTGCCAGTTTCAGGAACAAAAGAAAATTACATAACACCGCACAATCGGGGCTCTTTTTACAAGGCGGCAAGCCTGGCTGAAATACTCCTGCATCAATAGATCAATGTTGTCGGTCAGATCAGAGTAGAAACCAGACAGTCCTTCGTGTGGGTGTAAATGTCCAGGAAACGAAGATATGAATTTGTACAGAAGATTGAAACCAGAAAAAAATGAAAAATACTCCAGTCCAGCAGAATCAACATCTATAAATGCCACCGGCCCGAAGTGGTTAAAATATCTCTGCTTTGCATTGCTTATCTTCTGAGGCTTTGTGTCTTCATACATAAGCAAATGCGGCCTTTCATGCTCTGTAGTGTAATGTACTTGTGACCTTAAGTAGAAATCCCTTCATCTGATCGGGCCGAAACGCTGCATTTGTTTAACATTTAAACTTCCTGGATAAACTGCAAATGACATACTAGAGGATAAGTTCCCAGGTATTTCTCTAACTAAGATTTGTTTTTTTGACTTCAAGATTTTGAACCCAAAATTGTGGACTCAGGTTTCCTCATGTACCTGTAGGTTTTCATGTCTTTTTAGGCACCTACTAAAACACACGTAATGCTAGCCATTCCTATCATACAAGAGCTATTAAAAGCGTGAGAAGTCGGGGTACTTTTAACTCCTAGAAGTTGTAGGGATTTCTTCATCCCTGAATTTTACCCGCGGTCAAAATATCCCGGGTACGCAGTGGGCAAAGACCTTGACCCAGCCATGGTCAACGGGTACAGATACAGTCTCGGCCAAGGGGTACATGATCAGTGTTCTTTAATCCAGAAATTATCTCACACCACCCACCTACCCCTTCCACCTGCACCCAACTGTAACCACGCAAAGCCAGCTCATCAGACCTATAGAGATCTATCTTTGTTTTACCTTGATAGACGACGATGAGCCCCTGCAGAGCGGCTCGGGCAACGTGGACAAGGACTGCGAAGAGAGCATCCTGCTGACTTGGGGTGACCTGCTGGCTAAGTGGCGGGCCAACCTGAGTGTGCGGCCCAAGCCCCTGCGCTCCATGGTGCGCAAGGGCATCCCCGAGGCCCTGCGGGGGGAGGTGTGGCAGCTGCTGGCGGGGGTCAAGGACTGTGAGGGGCTGATGGAGGAATACCGCGTCCTCATCACCAAGGTAAGACAATTCTTTATCCGTGAGTTTGTCAAGTACTGTGCACGCGCTCCAATCGTGTCACTAAATTCCGTTATGTAGACCTACACAAGACATTTACTGACAGTGGGTAAATGGTATAGAAATATAACATGATTTTGCTTTGAGAGTGGTTAGTTGATGATGGCTTTCCAAGATATTGAAAGTTGACAAACTAATTCCTGCAGCAAAGCTAAAAGGATTAATTTTTAAGCTTCCAATACAAAATTGAGCTAATAAATAACCTGTTTTGAGGGTAGATGGTTGAATTTAGTTCCCTGAGGTATTCAGAGTGTACAGTTTACTTATATATATATGTCATACCGTACTTCATACTTGGGCATATTCATTTGCCATCACAATTTCAGGCATTATTTAAAATGCTTATTGACATGTATACTTCCTTCCATCTTTGGTGTGTGACTAGAGCAAAGCTTGTTTGTGCCTACTTCCTACTTCACCCAGGCAGCCTTTCCGCAAAACTGTTGCCCAGGAACAGTGCTAGCACATTGACTTGAGTGTGTACCCTTGCATGTGCAGCAAAACTATAGATTGGCATCTGATGTGAACGAGCCATTGATAAGTGGGTTCTCGATCAGGCATGTGTATGGGATGTGGTAATCTTGGATGTTTTATGCCTGGTACAGTCTTGTCTTTGTGGGGACAAATACCTGTATGCCTGATGCCATATTTTCATGTATCATAGCGATGAACTGTACCAATACTTATGTACATGTGCATACTACCCCTGTGAGATACATGCAGCTGCTTCATAAAAGCAAATGTATACATAGTAGACTGTTGCCTTTCAGTAATAGTTGCCATGCACCAGCAGCACCCATTTGTAGAAAACCTTGGAGCAGTCGTATGGCTGTTGGAGAAAGAGGACCCTCTCTTGGCTTGGGAGAGAGCTCCCTCTTAGTGGCTGAGTTTGGGCGGCTTGTTCTCGCATGTTCACGAACAGCTCGATTTGTTGGTTGGGGGCTGGCCGCTCGTACGGCAAGAACGTACAAGCGGTTATCGCTGGTATGAGTGGTAAGCAATATGCATTGTAATGGCGGTGTCCACGTGCGTTCTTTGAGAGTTAATGTTTGGATAACTGGGCTGAATTCTTTTCTGTTTAAGAAACATTCTTTTCTGACCTGTGGAAGCTTATTAATGGTAAGTTTGCAATACACCCCATTGTCTCAGGCTTTGGAGCCATCTCGCTAATTTTTTTGCTGCTGTACAAAAATTAAAATCTCACAAGTTTTTCCATGCGTTCCTGTAAAACCTTGACGTATGAGGAGGTGGCGTGTAAACTTGTTCCAGTGTTCTTGGGGTGTATTCCCACTGTTCCAGTGCGAGAACAAGAAACCTGTATCAAGAATAGACTGCCTGAACTTGACCTTAAAGTCTTATCAGCTGGTGGCTAGCTGCAGAGAATAGCGCCCTCTGTTGCAAACCAGGAATAAGCTGAGAGGAAAAGTGGATCAAAGGTGGAGCCCGATCAGGTTGTCTTCAAAAGGCAACAGTGCCCTCTTGGGATGGATAATTGTCATTTTTTTTTGTCTGACCTGTACTGCAGCAACGTGCCCGCTTGGATGAATTCTCTTTCAATTCACTGAAGGATTTATGTCGAGGATCGGGAGATTTGTACCTTGCATTTTGTTTAGACTTTGAATGGTAAATTGGAAGTCACTCCCCCAGTAGTACTGCAATAGTCAAGTCCATCACAAATCCTTCAGTCTTAAGCCCAGGGGTGAGATTTTTCCAAATTTTTCCGGATTTCCAGATTTTTGGAAAAATGAATTCAGGACTTGTGTATTTTTCTACTTGGTATGCCATTACCAAAAGTGGAAGTAGTATTTTCCACATTTTGCATGAAAGTGAATGCTGGACTTATGCAAGTTGAGGTTTTGATAGGGCATGCACTCTAGTGTTGTTACTCCTGCTGGAATGCACTAGAATACTACTGAACAGCAGGGGTATAGGGTATTAAACCGTCAGGACTCGGTACTGCTTCCAACTCAACCTCGACTCCATGGGCTGTGCTTGCGCAAGGCATGAAGGGTACCAATACGGCACGATCTTAGTGGTACCCATTGAAATGAGGCTGCTTTTAACTGTACATGTACATGTTCCATTCATTGCAGAACTATACTAGCCACTTTTACAGAAAACTCGGGCGTCATTTCCTTCGTTGCGTGCAATTCTTAAACATGTTTATTGTCGCTTTGATTGATCAAAATGGCTCTCCATTACTTAAAGTCATCAATCTTGGGTGTCTTTCACTTCATTAAGGCTTGAAAAATCCCTGGAAATTTTTTTGCAGCTCAAAAGTCAGGTGGAAAAAGAGGCTTGAAAGGGGATGAAGAATATTACCGGAAATTAATTTTAAAAAATCAACAAACGAGGATACTGCAGGTACGGTACACATGGTGCGATAAACTGTTGAAGGATTGAGGGACAGACTTGAGGCATTCTTTTCCGGATTTATCAGTTCCCTCAAATCTCGCCCCTGTAAGCCAAGTCGCAAGCTATTCAAATGAACTGTGATAAAAGCATCCTTTTGACATTGTTCATCCTGTTACTTACGGCTGCTCCCATTGACAGACTTGTGGACGGAATTGGGAAAGAACTCTTCAGAGGACTTGTGATCGGCTCAACTTCAACACTGTTTGACGGTTCTACTGGATGCCTTTAGCCCCCCCTCACCCTGTGTAGGTTGATGTTTGCGTGCATTGCCCCCAGAACTGTGGGGTCCAACGTCTGCCCCACTCCCACGAACAAAGCAGGAGTGGGGCGGACGTTGGACCCCACTGTTCTGGGGGTATGCATGCACCAATCAGTGTACGCCTAACCTGCGTGCGTTCACGTGGCCCACGTGAATAGGGAGAAATATTGCCTTCTACAACTCCCACACATCGCCAGTTAATATAGTGTTCTGCTCTCCCGGCTGAGGCATGTTTATTTAATTGTGCTGATCTGGTGAGCAACATAACCACAATCTCAAACTGTACAGCTTGGCTTTCCCCAACACAGTACTTGTACACTGTAAATTCAGTGCCAACCACCCGTGTTGCAAATACACATTTTGAAATGACATTGTAAGTTACTCTCATATGTATTAACCAATATATACATGAAAAGTACACTCACTCGTACTTCATTTATTTCAGTTTTAGATGAATCAAGTGAATTACATGTACAGTGTACCAAACCATTCTACGCCCCTTGATTAGACATAAAAAAGGGCTGTTCATCTTTCACTTTCTGTGTTTTTCTTTAACTGATTTCAGGTACTTGACCAAGCAGTATATTTCCTTTTTTTTCTGGTTCAATAAATTCTGAGGCGGATCCCTCTGCATACTTTAAACTGTACGGAGAGAGTAGAGACTTCCAGTATTTTCGTTTGATTCGGATACAAAAAATGGTCGTTTGACCAAGGAGTTACATGTACATGTACTTTAGTGTGTTTTGGTCTTCCCAGCTTGAGAATTGCACTGCATTATAGATCCAATTTAGACAATGCTGTACCCATTGTTGTTGGCATATATACAGAATAAGATTCATTTTAGGGTGTTCAGTTTAACTGAGCTGAGAAGATTTATCTTTAAATTAAAAGTCATAAATACACTACTCGTAAAGCATTTTCCCACATTCTGGTAGATTATACATGTACTTTGAGATTGTTTACAGTACAGACGTACCTCTCGAATTAGTACCAACTACAAGCTTCCTTTTCTGCATACCCGTAATCAGCTTTGGCTTGAAAGAAAAATTTACAATTCCAACATATCTATTAATTTTTTCGATGCGAATATCATCCTGTTTGGTGACGGTAAAGCTGACTCAGTTCTCACGGTATGGACAGACCCTCTCCAGCATGGCTTAATCAACAATCCGTCATTGAAAATTCTCGCAGCTGCATGACCTGGCTCTGGGAGCGTTCCCTGCTCTGTGCAAAGCACCGGTCCTTGGATATTTTGCAGAGAGAGGTGACCCTCCGCCAGATGGCCTTGAGGAGGAGGTGGAGCCCCTCCCGGAAGGAGCGGTGGCAGATGATGTAGATGATGCAGTTGAAGAAGCTGTTTAAGAAGCCCAGCCAGGCCGTGCAAAAATTCACGGCCGGATGGAACTCCACGTCTGTGGCCAGTTCCACAGCCTTCTGGACAACGAAGGGGATCCAGGAAAGGTAGAAAGCACTGATGACGACCAGGAAGATCTTGGCCAGCATCTTCTCATAGAGCCGGCTGCTGGTGTCCTGCTGAGGCTCACCCTCATGGAAGAGGGACCCCAGCCGCTCTATCTGGCGCGTCTGAGCCAGGCATGCCCGCCAGATGTGGAAGTAGCAAAATGCGGAGGTGAGGATCGCCGGCAAGATCAGGACGCAGATGATGTAGAAGGATATGGACAGGCTCTGGTTGAAGTGTTGTTTGCAGTCATCGGAGTACTCCTCAAAGATGTAGCCACCCCAGCCGAACATCGCAGGGAGGAAGAGCAGTGCCACGAAGATCCAGACAGCTACAGCGTAGATGCGGGCTCGCCGCTTGGTCACAATGGAGCGATACTTGAGCGGCTTGATGACAGCGATGTAGCGGTCGATGCTGACGCAGGTCAGGCTAAGGATGGAGCCGCCCACCATAGTGGCCATAAAGTACGCCATGAGCTTGCAGGACCACATGCCATATGGCAAATTGTTGGCCCAATTGGACTCAATGGCCGCAAAGACACACACCCCGACACCCAGGTCCGCCACAGCTAGTGACTTCACAAAGACGCCGGTCATGTTCTCCAGGGCCTTCATGTACTGGAATACCACCAGCACCAGCAAATTAGCCACGATGGTCAGAAATGATGTTGTCACCAGCAGGACTCGGGCCACTTCCGGGTACCAGCCAGCGGGGATTGAATCCAGAGGCTCCGTCGTCGCGTTCAGCATAGCTTCAGTTAACGCTGTCCCTTCCATTTCTGTGAGGGGAGTGCTGGATGATGACAACACGCAGTGCAGGCTTTCTGATCATTTGAAACGGCTGGAGAGGGAAGGGTATCATTAGCCAAGAACATCACCATCATGTACTTGGCTGTGTTTGCACATGTTTGATCAGGCGACGCACTCCACGTATCCCTGGCAACACTGTTGGCTTTGGCGGCAAAGTGCGTGAATTCACAGGTATCGAATTTTCAGCCAGCTGGGGCAAAGCTGCGCTCTCACGTTGCCGGGATTTTATTCAAGTAGGCTTTGATATCCTTTGATCATTTCTCCATGTTCATTGAGGTTCAAAGATGCAGAGCCTTGTGAGCTTCATCCTTTCTTACGGCTGGAGCAATCAGTCAGTGATAAGTACACAGGCCTGGTCAAAGTACGCTCACCTATTGAAATGCTAATTGGTAGCTCTTGATTGGTTTATACTACATCACAAGTGCCTGCTGTCAACACTGATCCATCTGTACCATCCATCGCAAGCAGGCGAGTAAACTTCTCTTGTCCTTGCATTCTTCCTGTCCCATCTGGCATAAGACAACTCCTGCTCAAATGGGTACTTGTTTTCTTAAATGGTGACTCGCACATTCCATAGGCGATAGCAAATGGGGTGAACTGTTGGTTGGATCTTCCACTCTGGCACTGTTGTGATTTGTGAGTAGCTGGCGTCTGTTGAGATGCGCTTCAGTGTTTTTATCCCTATAAGTATCCGCCCCACCCAGTCGGAATATATGAGTTGCTCCACGTGAGCACTTGACAGGAAAAGACAAAAACCCAACGAGACCTCTCCCATCAACGCTCTGTACACAGCTGTGCAGTTGTCGCTCACCCCTGCAAATCAACCAGAAAATGAATTTACATTTTGAGAGCGGGGATATTCACGTACGCACACAGACTGTCTGAAATGAAGCATTCACTGGAGCACAAAGAATGCAATTGGCCAAATCTTCTGCTTAGCCATGCATTAGCAATTTTGTTCCCCGTCAATGTTTTTTTCACCACCCAAAAGTGGATCAAAGAAGCAGGGATTGTACTAGGAATTATATTTGGCATTCACGGAAATGATGTTCACATACATAAGCTAGGCTCTTTAAAACCAAAGTCATTTTTGTAACACTTGTTCTGTTAATTTTTGCTAACTCTGTGAACACAACTTTATCAAGTGCATCCTTAAAATCAGCCATTTAAACTCAGTGTATTGATTCATGACGCATTAAAATACATGTATTTCTACGTTGATGCATCTAAAAATACAGGTGCATTGCAGTGTAAAAATAGTGAAAGTTAGTGCCCTGAATCCGATTGCAGGTATGGTATTTCTTTCCAGCTTGGGTCACGTGCGATGTACATTCTAACTGTCATCTGCTTTGGCAAGCAAAGTGTCATTTTATGTGCCTTCATAGTGACGTTGACACAAGATTTGAATCAGGCAGCATTTTCCACTGTTTAATGGTGACTCCTCCAATTGACAACCCGTGTACTACAGACTACATTTACATGTTCACTAAGATATCTTTTTTAGACCGTGATTTCCCCTTGTTTCAGAGTGTCACCTGTCATTTTGTCTGTCTTTTTTGTGGTCATTAGTCTTGCCTTTGTGTATGTGAGATCTGTAATTGATCTGTTTTCCAATGGTTTTCAAAACGTGCTTTTTGTCTCCAATTACTTCTTTGCTGTGTTTGTGACTGGATCCCACAAAGTAAGTTTGTAATATTTTTCAGTTGGTATTTAGGGATAAACAGAAATGCTGTTCTTTCTTTCAGGCGACGTACCACTCAGTTTGGCATCCTGATTAAAATGAACACTGTATGGCTGAAAACGTTGAGGGTTGCCGTTGATGTATATCGTGCGAGATTCTTTTCAATTCTGAAGCGAGTCATGTGACTTGTGACTCATTTTGTGAGGTTGGGCCATATTTTACTTTTCTATTGAAAGGCTGTCCACTGCAAGGTCTATCGCAAGTTGCTGTGTTTTGTCAATGTCACCAGTGACATCTGATGCAACACTTTCATGCCGTTGTTTACAGTTCATCTATTTTCCTGTGACCAGAACTCCCCGATCCACTCACCTCCCCCCTTCCATATTCTCACTCCATGCGTGCAGATGGGCCGTCTGCAGCACTCTGTTTATAATGTGCACGATACCCGCGGCACGAGATTGGCTTGGTGCATTGTCAACGCAATATAAAGCTGCCAAATATTAACTCAGTGTGTCCAGCTTCAACCTCTGTTGACTTGGAGTATTCTTCCCCGGTGTAGTTTTACCAAGTGTATATCGCTGCATATGCAGTGCTGTCCGCAGGCAGCCCGTGCGGATGGCGGCCAAGCACCATGCACTTTATATTAGGTTCTTTTGGTTGTTGTTATGCACGCTTTGCCAAGATTTTTCAGTGCTGTACTGGTACTCATGGGCATCCCATTAGGTCTGTCTATAAATACATCTACAACCGTACATGTACATATTCATGTACCTTCCTATCATTGGCAAAGTAGAGAAAGCCTGGGGTGACGGTTTCCACAAGGTGCCCGCTACCCAACATGAAGACAGTACAGTACGTATGGACATGTACATGTACAAGCCAACGAGGTCCAGTGAAAATTGATCACTCTTATTCCGTATCATGAGCATCTTGAACCTGCATGCACATGAGACGTGTCCGCCCAACACAATGTCTGACATGTAAATGTATTTGTAACTGTTACAAAAATACATCCTCTGTTGTTAAAGCCGGATGCCCATTTCTTGAAAAGCAGACCCCAGCGGAAACACGCTACACTTACTAAGTACCAAGTACATGTACATGTACATTGAATCTTGGCTGTTGTTAGAGTGTGCCAAGACCCTTGCCAGTGAGGTCCTCAAGGATTTGTATGGTAGGCGACTTAAATGCATGTTTTCAGCCCATGCTTTTAACAGCCATGAAATCAGACCCCCCTTAATCGATCGAAGGCCATAGCACATGTAGTGGCACCGCATCCGAGCCCGTGAAGTGGTGCCCCGGTATTTTGAAATGCCCACTCCCATGTGGGGAGTGTGTTTTTGCACAGGGGATCCTGGTGCTGTAGATCCCCTTATTTGCCATCCTGCTTTGGCGGTGCGATCATGTGGCAATCTTCTATTTGTTTCTGCCGCGAGCGTGCCTCAATTAGTGCCATTTGTTTTGATCCCACCGGGTTTCGTTTTCATCCCCCCCCGTCTGATTTTCTCAAGTGTGCCCGTCTGGTTTGAGAGTGGCGTACTTTGATTGGGACTAATCGATGACCCAGACACAAATGGACTCGTTTTGCTCATCAGATGTACTTGCATGAGACTAAAAGTTGAGTTTGGATTTCGCAAAAACTCAAAGAACAATTTATATTCCACTCCACATGTGGCCCTGAGTTCCCTTAGAGGAGAATAAATGGTTTAAAATCTATGTACCCATGGCTTTACATGGACTCACATTTCCCCAGGTTCCATTAATATTCTCCAAGTTCTCTTAAAAATAAGTTCAGATTTTATCATGATAGTGTAAACTTGCTTACTTTGTAATCAGTTCTTTTACGGTTGAGTTTGAATTTCAGCTCTGTTTTTTAGTGTTGCCGTAAATGCACTGGAAAATACCAGTAAGAGCAATGTACAAGCAAGAATTACATGTAATTAAGCTTGGTCCACCTGATCACTTAAGTGCCTGTTGTCTGTAATTAATCCCCCCCTGTGTGCTGGTATGAGAGTTCCAAAAGGTGCAGGCTAATCCTCAATGTACCGGAGTGAGTGGCCCGTAGCTACTGTTCGATTGGATTTGTGGCCGACACGTCGGCAGGTCCCTGTGCAATCATTGATTGGGGAAATCGATGGAGTACACCCAGTTCTGTCGAGAGCTGCTGGGCTTGTCATCTGCCAAAGTTTGACTGAGTTGCACAGAGCTCATGTAGAAGACGTAAATTCAGATTTATTAGGGTCGGTCGATCCATTTTCATTGGGACATAAATAGCTCCAATTTTTTTTCCAACTTTGGGAATGTTGAACCAGAGAATATTATTTTGCAGCTGTCACTGTCAGATGTAGGATTTTAAACGAACTGTTTGTTAACAGTGCATCCGTGTTGAATGGAACCAGGGCTTTGTTCAGTCATTGATTTATTGGAGTGTTAATTTTCCAAGTAATTTTCTTTCTGAGTTGTGACTTCAGCTTGTTGAAACATTTTTGACAAGCTCATTAGAATGAGGATCCGGCACCATCCCCCCAAAAAGTCAGAAATTTGCAGAGTAGTGAAAGATTTTGAGAGCTTTGAAAACTGTCACAAACTGTTGTTGGAAGACAAATATCTTCTTAGTTGATTTGAAGGTATTTAGAGTTTAATTGGTTCATCTAAAAGTGTACAGACTTCAAACCTCTCCCCCACGAAAAGTAATTGAAGAAATAAGAATGATACTGGACATTAAATGCTTGGAGAAACAATGCAGAATTTCACAAATTTTTTTTACAAATCTCAAAGATGCATTAAATGTGCTTGTACGTTGGCCTGTGAGGCAGGAAAAAAAAGAGAAGTGGGGAAAAGAGAAAAATATGCCAACAAAATATGACATACAGTTCAGTTACTTTACATGACAGAGGGAATAAAAATGTTGCCACATGTGTGATGAGTTATTTTACCACCCCTCCTAATCTAATTTGAAGGTACAATGATTTATCTGTTCAAGATGGAGCATGCTTCGAATTCAACAAAGTGGTCCTCAGTAAAGATATCTCTGTGTGTGCTGGAGCCATACCAGCGTCGACATCAACCAGACGTTGGCACCTTTGATACTCCCAAATGTCCCCCCCCCATTTTCACTTGTTCAATGTGTTTCCAGGTTGTGTGCTTTCCATAGAGGAGCCATTAATTGGTTTGTGTATACATGTAGATCGTTGTCCATTTTTCAACCCCTCGGGTTTTGTCTCGGATTTGGGGCTCCGGTTTAATGCTGCTTTTTGAGTCCCTGGTTTTGGGTTGTTGGGTCTCAGTGTGGACTTCAGAAGAATCTGACCCTGTGATTACGGAACCAAAGCTCTGAGTCTTTCCATTGATCTTGTTCATGTGGAAGCCATTTTTGATCTTATTCCCTGAATCTGCTTGATAAATTGTTCACTGTTAATTAGGATGGCACCAAACTATTTTGTGGTTGGCGTGAGTTCCAAGCCTCCTTTTCAATATTTTATGTAAATATGGCTTAAATCGCCAAGTTACATTTTACTACAAATTTGTAATTATTCATCAGAGTACAACTGGTAGGTATTAATTTGTCATGAATTTTATGTTACCGGAAGTACTTTATTCCCACTCACAGCTTTAAAACAAAATGAAAAGTTAACCTCGCTTTCAATTTCACTATGGCCGACCTACGAATAGTGTCTATTGGGTTCAAGAGACAAAACTTGTTCCTCCAAGTGAACAGTAGAAATGTTAATCGGCCAAGATTCAGTCGCAGGCTAATGGGATGCATTTTAAATAGCAACAATAATGTATATTTTAGTTGTCATTCGCTGCAGCATTGGTTACCATGGCAGCACTGCCTGGTTAATTTCTGAAGTCTGCTTCAGCAGTCTACTGTACTTGCAACTAGCTCAGAATACCTTGTCATGGGGTTTTAGCACAATGCCTTGCAGCCATTAAGGCTAAATGAAATTACACGAACACTGTCGTTAAACAGCACAGCCTGCTGCCGTACTTTTATCACTGATCATCATACATAGGATCTGGAGCTCAATCCATTTAAAAAACAGAGAATTAATGAGGGCAAGAGTAGATGTCAATGGCGCCAGCCCGGGTAGTTTTTGGTCAGAGTTTCTTGTTTGTGGCAAAATGTGGC